ATATTTAATTATGAATATACATTTTAGATGACCAATTGGCAATATTCTATAATGATCAATCTGTCCTTGAAAATCACCATCTAGCTGTTGCGTTCAAGATTCTTCAAGATGACCCAGATTCTGATATACTGCTTGGGTTGACCAAGAAGCAGCGACTAAGTTTCCGTAAAATTGTTATTGATCTGGTGAGATATTTTTATTTCTATAAATATTTGCAAAACTATGCCTGTTACCTATTTCTAAATAAAAGTAGTAAAGAATAGCAAATGTAAAATATTAATTAAAAATAGCTTTTACCATTTTTCATTATTTTCAGTCATGCCAAATTGCTGTTATTGACTATTCTCATATATAAAGTATTTTTAATCAATAACAATTATTTTTAAACTAATTTGAAGTACGTGCATTTTCTATTTAGCCCTATTCAGCCAAAATTGATAACGAAGGGTAATTTAACTTTTTAAATACGAAATTGAGGCTAAAGTGCAGTGATATAATCGGTTTACTTCTAAATTTTTCAAAGTTAAACTTACCTTTTTAGAAAGTGTTTGAACTTGTTTTCGCAACTTGTTCATATAGGTAGAAAGATTTAGAGCAACCCACCTAGTCCGGATTAGGTGAAACAACTCTATGCAACGAAAGGAGGCTAAAATCACACAAACGACCTCACCAGCTTGATCTTCATGTCTTACATCCCTTAACTTCTTAATTTAAACTTCATAGATTTTTCAGTTTTAATGAGTTGCTAAACTGCCTTTTTAGGTACTTGCTACCGATATGTCAAAACACATGTCAATGTTGGCTGATTTAAAGACAACTGTTGAGAGTCATCGAGCTTCGGGTTTGAATGTGCTTAATCTAAGCACTTATACGACAAGAATTCAAGTGAGATTTAATTTTACTAACAATTATATGAGAGTGATTACGTATTCTATTTATATATATATATTAATAATTAGGCTATTGATTTGTGTCTTAAAGCTCATGATTAACGAAGAAATCTTAAGAATAAGATACTTATCTCGCTACTGAGTAGGCCTCGATAAATAAATACTTAATTACCTACGCTTCCTCTCTAATATTACGGATTATATGAGCCTACTCAATTTATCTTCCATTTTATAGAAAAATGAAGCCATATATTTTGAGAAATTTGCTCTGTTACTAGATAAAATTAAAGTAGAAATAATCAAAGTCCATTCTCTAGATAAAAGTTAAAAATATCACGCATGCTGAGTTTTTAGATGAAAATATGTTTTTAATAAAATATTTCCTATTTCTTATCCGATGCAACGGATAAAATAGCACTAATACTAGATAGATGTGGCTAATTGTCACAGCGTAAGTATATGTTATATTTTTTTATTACCATATTATACTTATTACGATATAAAAGCTAATAAGATCTTTATGATTTTACCAGATCCTGCAGAACCTGGTACATGCAGCCGATTTGAGCAATCCAGCTAAACCACTGAACCTTTACAAACAATGGGTGTCACTTATAGCGGAAGAGTTCTTTCGCCAGGGAGATCGAGAGAGAGAACTTGGGATAGAAATTAGTCCAATGTGTGATCGTACAGTCTCTTGCATTCCATCTTCTCAGGTTTGGTATCAAGAATATTAGAATTATTTGATTCTCTCATATGCGCATGAGTGCTATATAAGCGATAATATAGCTCATCATCCACATAATTATATACATTATAACTACATATGAATATACCCTTACTTTCACAACTTGGACTTGGCATTCTCAAGACCTCAATAAAGGCACTTTAGCCAGAGTCTCTGTCATAATAGTTATGCTAATTTCCATTTTAAAAACCTGGAACTTTGTACATTCCAAGTGAGTATCAGCCTGAACATCTATTCTTAACATCAAGCGACCACTTTTCGGAGATGAGTAAAGTCCATCCCTTCTTCATCGTTCTGCTCAAACTTTCTGCAATCATCTAACCCTCAACATCTTAGCCCATTCCCTCTTTCACAAATTATAACTTCTTTATACTTGACTACTTCAGAGGTAATCATACCTCCTATTGGTTTTCTCTACT